AGCAAAAATACCGAACTTCAAGGAAAATTCAAAACGGAAAGTCCTTTATCAAATGACAAAATCAAAATCTAAAACACAACAAATTGTTGACGTTAATCAGTGTCAGAACTGTTCACCTTTTAAAATGGAGCAAAACAAAAGTTCATTCCAAGTTTTTGGTGGGGGTTTTGTTGTTTAATACAGGAGAAACACAGTAGAGAAACACACTGTTTACCCATCCAGAGCACCTGAATTCACACCGACTTGTTCTGTGGAATTCGTTTTACTCAATCTTTACTTGTTCTATGTTGTGTTTTATGGTTTATATTTTGTGGGTTTTTTTTGTCATAGCGTTTACTTTTCTTTTTTGAGTAATCAAATTTATAACCTGTGTGTTATTATAATGCTGGATTTGTACATTTTAGTCATTTAATAGTCCACATGAAAGTTTTGATAATGACATTTTACCACCATTTATGAAAATATGAATTCAGTGATGGCAGTTAACTAAGTTTGTTTAGTTGCGGGAGATTTTTAGATTTTGCCCTGTTTTTTTTTTCTCAAAATCTCTATGAAATTCCTTGATATTCGAATACTGCTCGAAAGCTTTGAAACTACACAAAGTCATGAGATCAGTGTTAAGATGATTGGGTTGTTAAAACAAATCATTTATTCATATAAAAATAAGGAGATGTGGTATGATTGCCAAAGAGACCCCTATTGTTGATCTTATTCAATTAAAGCAGTACATATATGTCATATTAAACAATTCCTGACAGATTGTTGTTTTTTCCCTACATGTATTGTTTAACGCTCATTCTCAATGTTGAGGCGGCTTGTCAATTGCAATTGGCTTGATCACATTGAATAAAATAAAATGTTTCACAATCATAAAAATGTGTTGCAATCATAAAAGATGTGAACAATGAAGAAATGATAAAAATGCAAATTTCTTCGTGTACTGGTCAATATTATATTCATTTAATTACAACAAGGATGATCAATAGTATGTTGGAGATTTTTTAATCCTAAATATACACCTCCTTATTTTTAAATTGAACCCCTCCTGTAAAATTTTACCTGTCTAAAGGAATTCTATTTTTTCAATCATTTTATTATAATTTTCAAGCGCTTCAGTTTTGACCAATATTAAAGTATTATCGTTTATTCCGATACCATGAAATATAATAATATTAAAAACCAATGCCACTATTAAATGGTATTCAATGACCCAGACATGATTTGAAGGCCTCGTACATTAAAGCAAACGTCATTATATCACTCTTTCCTTTATTCATTTCATAATTATCTTCACCATTGCTACTGAATATTACATAAGTATATACTGGATTTACATTCTATAACTATTTGTCCAACCTCGTAGGTATAAATTCCTTTTTAATCAGACAACACTTTCGATCGACATTGCTAGTTATTATTTTTAATACTGTTTGATAAACCTACTATGTTTTATTTGTTTAGCGGGGGATCTATACTATCCATGTAGAATTGAATTAAAACTCGAATAGCTGTTTCCACAAGAACATATTAGAAAGTTTACATTAAAAGAGAGGCTAAAGATACCAAAGGGATATTCAAACTCATAAGTAGCAAACAAACTGACAATGCCACAATTTTTGAGGGTCCAAAAGGTGCATCATATAGTACTGCATCGGCGCCTCGACCCGGTATAAGCACACATATATATATATATATTTGTATTTGGAATTTTTCTTTTTCTTTGCTGTGCATGTACTAAAACTACACTTTCAATTGGATCACTAACACTTACAATCTTCATTTTGCTTCAAATTTGCAGAATTATACCTAAGAAAGGCTTACGACCAACCATTCCATTTTCACCCAACTGTATACACTTCATCGTTCTGTAGTTACCCTAAAGTTATTATTGTAATGATTTGATTAAGGAATTATAAGTTAAACCGCAACATTATTGAATCAGTTACAACATCAATAATATTATACGATAATTTCAAGAAAATAACTAATTTCCATGTTTTAAATTGTCAGGTACAAATTCCATCATGTCAATTTCAAATTGATGTCACGCTTTTAATTTCGTGAGGGTCCTAACGATTTCAATACATTAAATTGGAGTATTTAAACGTTCTACTTTTCATCAATTTTGACATTTCTGACATTATCCTTTTGTATGAAGTGATGCTGACTGGAAGAGAAAAAATGTCAGAATGACAGTCAAGTTGTTACTTGATCTGTTATCTAAAATTTCTCAAACTAAGGCATGTTTTGCTTCTGTGTTGCTGTTTAATTTCTTTGTCGGCTGTTCTCTTCTGCCTTTGTTGTTGTTGTTGAAATCCCCCCAAGGTCAACTTTGGCTGATGAAGTTGGAACCTTAATTTCTTAATAATTTATAAATTTACCAACGGAGAATTTAAGAAAGGTATGTTATTATCAAGTAGGTCAGTTCCAAAGTACTGACTACTGAGCTGATAAAATATTCGGGAAAAAGGATTAATGCTTGGAACAACACTGTCTCTAATTTTACAGCTGAATTGATAAAACTAAATGAAACCCGCACGTGTAATAAATCATTCCGCGCAATCGTAAATGAAGATAATACCCAAAATGCGCGCAATAGTAACGCCATCGATTGTAAAGCTTGCAAACCATAAATCCAAGAAAATTGGGTAACTATATTGGAATTTAATAGGTTTTAAAAAACATATTTTAAAAATTGTAAATGCAGGAGTCATTAAACTTTTCAGAATTTTTTCTTAAACGATAAAAGTCGAAGTTATTTTTCTATATACATATAGAACATTGTTTTACATATCTAAGAAAATACACAATATGATTATTTGTAAGTGGAAGAAATAAATACGGATCTCTTTAATGAATAAGAAATCAACTGGGCATAAACTACAATATATTATCTTCCAAACATCTGAGACAATAATTAGATTTGTTATATAGAGTGAAGGTCTTGTCATGTTACTAACTAGTAGCATCAAAATATTTGAATATTTTCTACCAATACCTGGAGGTTTCTAAGAGTATAAACTTATGCACGTTTAAACTGTATTATATTATCGAAACACTTTCGTGGCAATCATCAGATTGTTCGTCTATTCAAGGTTTTGTTGTTTTGATAGGTTGGTATGTCTTTTGTGATACCATACATCTCATTGCGTGCATGCATGTATCTTCATTTTGACAACAACCCAACAACACAAACAAATTGTGCTAAAACATAGTTTGTAACTCCCTCTGGCAAAGTTTATCTAATATGACATGGTTGTCTTCTTTAGACCTCTTCTTGTTTTTAAAGGCTTGAAAATTGTATGTGTTTTGCTTAACAAACTTTCTGGATCAAGCACACATGATGAAGGTTATTTCACTAGCACGTGTCCCGCGAATTGACATCACAAATTTTTATTGTAAGAGTCTTACATAATCCTTCTTTTCGTACACGAAGACATTGCAATAGTGATAAACTCATGCAGATTTTATTTGTCAATCAGTTACGCATTTAGAAAAGACATCTGTACAGCCATGTATCATACAGATAATTAATTCATTATCTAATAAAGTTGGATTTGAAATATAAATAAGATTGAGATTATTACATAAAGTAATAAAACACCTTTTTGTTCATCTTGTTTTGTATTTTTGTCTCAACAGTGCTTCATACTGTATCAAATTACAAACTAATTAAATAATGAATTAATTTGAGTTGATATAACATTGCTGGGATCAGAACCAACATCATTACACATAATGACAGTTGTGTACATTACTATTTGTTTTAATTTCCCCGGCGAGTTTTTAAACAGATCGAGCGATAAAACACACTGATGTATAGTAGTTTTCGATATTATTTAATTATCTAATTATTGAAGATTTTGTCCCAATAATATGAAAAGTGTTCGTAACGTGTATTTCATAATGTACTTTCGATAAAAGATGAAAGAAAATTTTGACATTAGATGTACTGGTTTAAGATACCGTCTCATTAATCATTCCTTAAAATTAGTTCTATCAAAAAACATCAAGCATGAAATACTCGGTTTGCATGACTCTAAACTGATTTTGTCTACAAATGTAATCTTACATACAAGTTTGTATGTTAAATTGTCAGAACCAACTAAAAAATGTATACATGGTCCAGCTGAAGGACGCCTCCAGGTGCGGGAGTTTCTCGCTGCATTGAAGACCCATTGGTGGCCTTCGGCTGTTGTCTGCTCTATGGTCGGGTTGTTGTCTCTTTGACACATTCCCCATTTCCATTCTCAATTTTATCGTTCAATTACAAAATGTAAGTGTTTGTTAAATGATTAAAAAAAAAAAAAAAAAAAAAAAAAAAAAAAAAAAAAAAAAACGACTTGACAAAATGTAGTGGACTTTCCACCTAAGAAAATGTACTACACACATTTTACCTAAATTCGCGTGTTTGTTATATGAACCATGAAGAGTTCTGTATTTATTATCAGTGACAAACTGATCTAGCTGGTTTTTGAATCATTCGTTTGTTGCTTATTCCGTGATTTGATTGGTTAGCAATAAATATTGTTACTTTTTAATTGGCAATAAACAATGATGATATTTATTACATTGTCCATTTAGTAAATAGGAAAACTTAAGAGTATTATCCTTTGTACACATTTAAGTATAGATGCTGTAAAATTATTAAAATATTTCAATAAAAATCAAGTAAATTATCCTTAAGTGATAATAATAATAATAGGGTTAAAAAATGCATTGAAAAAAATTGAAATGGGTAGGAGAGAGATTTGATTTTTCAGCCTTAAAAATAAAATTTTCAAAATATGTAGTAATCAACGAAAATAGTAGCTGTATTGCAATTAAACAGTATTCAACTAAAGCCTCTAGACTATGCAGTTTTGTCCATAGTGGTGGAGGAAAAAAACAAATAAGGTGTTCTTAATTTTTTGTTGGTTATATTACTTCTGCATATACTGATATATATAAAACGCTTTAATGAAGTGTACTTTAATATTTTTCATATCTTTCTTTTGCAGACAAGAGGACCCCCATGAATCTTTCTTTGGTTACCAGGGCGACAATCCAATCGGAGAATCTTAACTGAACGTTGTCATGTTTAGTTGGAGAACCATTGGTGTAAATCATATCTGCTTTAACTTGGCGTATAATTTTTACAAAATGATTTGAACATTTAGCAAGACTATCGAAGATTTAATTAGAGTGATTGGAAGTAAACTAGTTGTGATATTTTACCGGTTTGCGTCACAAGCAGGAATTTTGTTATATTTTCCCCGTCATTAGACATTGATAATATGTTTGTTGAAACTCAGAAACAAGATAGACCATTACAACACATAAAAACTATGTATTTTGTAAACATTTTCCTTTGTTATATACACTTTTAGAATGTATTTTGAATTAAAATTGAAATGAAGCTAATTTCAAAAACATTGATTGAAGTCACAATGGAAGTGATGAAGTAATATTTCTGGCGAATTTATCTCACAAAGACACAGTTTTTATTGATTTTGTTTTGTTTTAGCAAAATTACAACAAAAAACTATTTACATCAAAAGGGCTATGAATTTTACAAATGTTCCAGTTCTAAAAAAGTAAATATTTGTGGTTTTTAATTGTTTTTTCTATTGTTTTGTCTATATAAGATTGACGATAACTTCCAAATTTGTTGTTCAATATTTAATTTATTTGACATTAAAATTGTTTTATTGATAATGCTCTGCTTATGTCAAATACAAACCAAAACAAAACACCAAACACCCGGGTCTTAAGTCACTATTGTGATCCGGGATAAACAACACGAGTAACAATTTGCTTATTATGTTTAACTTTGTTATTATGAATTAGAGGCAAATTAGATTAACCCTACAACAGCTGCATTCTGGTACAATTTACTCCCGTTTTCAAAATGATTTCAAATGTCACTCTATTGCATCTTGGTTTGAACTGTTTAACAAAAAAACATTGTTATTGTTATCAAATGTAATAATTTAGAGCGGTTGTATAGAAGAATGTCAAGTTATAAATAATTGTGAATAACGCGGGAAATTTATGTTCGTGTTAACACAGTGAGAAACGCGGGAAATGCACGTTCGTGACCCACAATTTTATCGTTAAGAGTGAACTACTTCGAAGCTAGGCACTAAACTGTTGTTTCATGATATTTTTTTTTCTATTTCAACTTAACATAACTTGAGAAATATTGCTGATAATATATTAAATTCTGACCAAACCAGCAAAATTTTGAAATGTACATGTATTACCAGTGCAGATTGATAACAGAGAGAAAAACAAACAAAACTAAAAACAAACAAAAACAAAAAACAAAAACAAAGCAAAATAAAACAAATACAAAACAAAGATGTAAAATTAGTGGTTAACGAGTACCAGCACCAACATGATTGTTACAAAGAAAAACCGTTTGAAATCCAGAGAATAAGAATAAAAATCAAAACGACACACACGAATGCGGAAGGTAGATAACTGTGACATGAACACTAAATCAGGAAGAATAGTACATTCAATAACTTTAGGTTGTGATACTAGGTGCTCTGGAAGGGAAAGCTTTTAATGTTTTAATTAAGGCATTAACTGGACACTCTTGGATAACACATGTTTATTGTGTTTTTGAGACCTTAGTGAAACGGCAGTTGTTTTCTAGTATATATTAATGATGTTTCAAGGAACATGACAAGTTGTCAGTTTCCCAACGACTTGGAATACCAAAATACATGTCGAGGTCAAAATTATCTTTATTATTTCAGAACTTTATAGTTGCATTCGTCAGATTATGGTATACCTTTCAAAGATCATCTTATTGTTACATAATAACCAAAATACCAGTACTTGTTAGTTGAATTTATATTTCACAAACCCATTTCAAACCCAACTTACTAACATTATTTGAACACTTTAGATGAGCATTACCATTATTTTTTACTTCTCTGTTCATCTTAAATATCTTTCCTTATTTGTCTTTTTGATTCTAAATGTAAACACTAAGACCAGTATTTGGTTTTAGTATCAAAATTAAGAAACGAGACATTTATTTAGACACGATGTCATTACGTAACAAACGTTACACAAATTATTAGGTGCATTTTATTCTGCTTAAAGGAAGACAACTCGAGTCTGTAAAAATTCAAGTCACACCTTTACAAATGCATTTTGTGCAAGTAACGCTAAAGAAGCTGTATTTGATTTCAATTTTTTATACAAAAAGCATAGTCACTAGTCGAGTTGGAAAAGCGAACCCTTCCAGGGAACCTGAACTCACCCGAGATTTTTGGTGAGGTTCATGTCTCGCAATCTTTAACTTTTTGTGCAGTGTTTTTCCATCCTGTTTATAAAAAATAGGGATATAAGGTATCATTGCTAATAAGACAATTATCCACCAGAGAGATTAAATGATATGGATGTAAACACCTATAGGGCACTATATGGCCTTTAACAATAAGAAAAAGCCTAACCGCAGAGTAAGTTATAAAAGGCCTTGTCATGACAAAAAAAATAATAAACAATTTATAAAAGAAAACTAATGACCTGAAATATCCCCCCCCCCCCCAAAAAAAAAAATAAAAAAAACCAAAAAAAAAAACCAAAAACAAACGAAAAACAAATAAGGCAGACAGTAACCAACGACAACCACTAAATTACAGGTTCCTATTTAAATACAATTTATTGATATATTGTTGGTGTTAAACGCCATATGCAGTAGGCTTGTCATGCAGTTTTTATTGATGGAGAGAACCTACGACCCTCGGCAGAATTCACATAAAATATCATACACTCAGCAACAAAGTGTAATGTGTTGCTAAACATATACTCAATAATCTAATACATTTGTACAAACGAGAAGAAATCAAATTATAGGGATGATGTATCCCTCACAATGTTTATTGCGTTTCACTGTTACAGATATTACACGACGGGTCTATTCGGTAAATATTGAACTACCTTTATATGCTAAGGTGGACCCGCAAGGTAGGTAATAGATCGCAGCCATCTAGTCATCCGGACACTATATGCTAGTACGTTGCCCTTACACCTCAATGCCACATGGCGCTGAATAAAAGAAAGAGAAGATACCAACAGGGCATTCAAAAATTATTAGTCCAATAAAAACAGACAGCATTATTAATAAAATGACCAAATGACAGACAACAAATACAAAATATTACATAGAAAATCAAGGACTGAGCAACACGAACCCGTCCAAAAATTTAAGATGAAATCAGGTGTTTCGGAAGTTTTAGCAGTTTCTGCTCCTCATTATTTGGTATCCGTAGTGTTGTTTTAGAGATCGTGCTATTGCCTCAAGTTTGATTGCGTCTTAGTCGATTTATGAGTTTTTAACATTAGAAAACTACTTATTTCATTTTTAGTTAAAAGACTATAAAAACCCGATAATCTCCTGAGCTAAATTACTAAGGAAAAAAAAAAAAAAAAACAGGGAGACAATACACATAAACAGAGTCATATAAAATTTTAATCTTAAAGGACAGAAACAAAATGACACCTAAATGATTGAAAGTGTTTACGTTGAATTTTACCTTTAGTGTACTTAAACTGTTTAAACTTTTAACTGTATGCGTCCCTGTAATTTCAGCTGAAGAAATCTGGGACAGACGGTTTCTTAGTCTATCAACAGTTCAACATTTCTTTCGTCCTAAATATGACATTACGTACATGGAAAAAATGAGGCAACCACACATTTTTCCAAAAAAATGAATTTCATGGGTTGTATTGTAAAAACTAACCAAATGAAATTTAACACAGTAAAAGGAGTAGCAACTTAGACAACATTTGTGATGATGTGTTTAATATCTTTGCAAATGTTTAATCTAACAGTTCTACAATTTACGATATACTTTCAGTCAGTGTATCTTTCATTGTTGCTTTTCATCATTATTTTCATGCTATATTATTGTGATTCTGAATTTGTGCAATTTTATAATAGTCCTATAAATTGCTCCCAAGCATTGCTTAAGCTTTAACTTTGTAGAGTTTTACTTATTTTGTAAATGCCAAAGACGGCATCTTCACTAATTCATTACACTAATACATATAATATGTAGTATTATAATAGATAAATATTGTCATTTTCATTTTCGCCGATGAATCTATCAAATTAACCAATTGCAATTTTATTTCTTAAAATCAATACATTGATCACAAAACCATCCTCATTATAAAATTTCAGAAGCAAAGCTTTTATTTCTGTTTTACATAAACAATAGATTAAATTATCTTTCAATTGGACATGAACTTCAAATTATGCTGTCAGTATTCAACACGATAATTATAGAGGAAAGTAGGACTGAATGTTTAGAACTGAAATTGTATTTTTACGAAATTTTTATTCTTTACACGAAACTAGATCGTAGCCAAAGAGTGATGTGTTACCAAAAATAAAGCAAGTAGGCGGTCATTCGGTAAAATTTTGAGAAAACATGCGTAATATTTTCTAAAGGCAAAGTAAATCGTTATTTTTGTTTTTAAATTTCGTATCATTACCGTGACCGTGCTCATTAAACTCAATGACGTAAAATCTGTATGAACGTGTAGGACAATGTCAACTAAGAATAATATAAAATCTGTATGAACGTGTAGGACAATGTCAACTAAGAATAATATAAATTAAGATAAAACACAGTGTCCTAAAATGGTTATATGGCCAAAGGCGTAATTGCTATTTTCGTTTCATTTACAAACAATGAAATTATCAATAGTTCTTTGCGATCTTGAAAAGGCGAATTAAAATAGCCCAAATTCTCTTATAATTGTATAGTACGTACGCCTCATACGTTAGTTTCGTCTACAAAAGACTTATGTCTAACCAGTGACACTCGAATAAAAAAAGATTAAAGGCCAAATAAAGTACGAATTAAGTTGATAATCATTTAAGATTCAAATTTCTGAAATTCTTCTGTTTGATTTTTTTTTTTTCAAAATGGAACCAGATTGTACTTCTACTTTATCACATATTATTTTTTTTTAATTATCATACTTCATGACAACAACCTCTCTCTCTCTCTCTGTATATATATATATATATATATATTTGGGCTTGTATTATATTTGCCTTCGGGTTTATATGATCCGTTCATCCTATTTTGACTCTTTCAAAATTCAAGAGTCTATCCTAAATTGAGGTAAATTATATGGCCTTCCAAATACCGTTTCGATTCCTAACATCACTGAAGAGACATTAATTGTCGAAATCCGGATATGGTGTACAAATTTTTGCACCTCATGTTTGCGGTATACCATCTTTCCCGCATGTTTATTGTTTTCTGTTTGGTAATAATTTAATAATAAGATCTGTTTTGTTACATCTTGTGATCCGTTTATTTGGCAATCGCCAATGGCAGTCAGCAGGGTTTAAGAACATCAGTTGTTCGACCTGCTAGTCAAATGCGTATTGTTAAAATATACTTTTTCACTCATTTGGTCTTTTGGAAAATGTTGTTTGTGCTGTATTTAGACCCCTCTACCAAGAAATTTGTTTTGCATGCACACGTATAAAAATTGCGGTTTTTATTCAACGCAATCATAGGTTTGAACATTGTTTTCAATTTAGACTTGTATATATATATATACAAGTCTAAATTGAAAACAACGTTCAAACCTATATATATATATATATACACAGCACAAACAACATTTTCCAAAAGACCAAAAGAAGTGAAAAAGTATATTTTAACAAAACGCAT